CTGCTCATGTAGCTGCTCCATAATATCTGGCCTGGTCAGGAATAATTCCCAATTTATGGGGCATTTAGAATCCATGTGTATGTGAAGCACCTTTCACACTGCAAACGTCTTTTATTATTGGTAATGCTAGGGGTTGCAAAACTATAGTACAGAGGCCAAATCTGCCCCACTACCTGTTATTGTAAAGTTTCATTGGAACACAGCCAGTCCCATTAGTTTATGTATCACCTATGTATGTATTGATCAGGGTTCTCCAGAGAAACAGAATCAATGGTATAAAGTTCTTGTCTATCCATCTAATCTATGTTATCTAGTTATCTAAAGAATTGGCTCGCACAGTTGTGGGGGCTGTCAAGTTTGAAATTTGTAGGACAGGCCAGAAGTCTGGAAACTCAGATAGGAGTTGATGCTGTAGTCTTGAGACAGAATTTCTTCTCCAGAAAAGTTGGGTCTTTTTTTTGTTCTCAAAGCTGATTAGATGAGACTCATCATACTATCAAGGGTAATCTCCTTTACTTAAAGTCAACACATTATTAACCACATTTTCAAAATATCTTCATTGCAATGCCTAAATTAGCGTTTGGTTAAATAACTTGATACGGTAGCCTCCCAGTGTTAACACATAAAATAAACTATCGAAGTCTGTGACTGCTTTCACCCTACAACGGCAGAGTTGAATAGTCATGACAGAGAAAGTATGCCCCAGAAAGCCTAAAATATTCATTATTTAGTTCTTTACAGAAAGTGTGCTAACCACTGAAGTAAACCATAAAACCAGATTGAACTAACCCCTGTTCTTTTAATGTGGTCAAACTAAACACACACACACACACACACACACACACACACACACACAACTTCAGAATAATAATAATTGATGACTGTGTTCAGCCTCCATAGCCACTTCAGACTACATTTTATGAAACTTCAAGTAGAAGAGCATCCAAATACTAATATAAATTCTTTAGGTATTTCCTCCGGCAAATTTGATTCCAATTTGTTATTGTCTGAAATATTTTTTCATGTCCACATTTGTGTACAATTTTATAACAATATATTTATGTGATTACATCATACATACTAGCTATATTATTGTAGTCCTTTTTTCTCTGCTTTCTGCTTTATCCCTCATATATTTTTTTTCCTTTTCCTTTTTAATTTGGCTTTCCCACCTCTATTTACTACTACTCCATAGAATTCTTGCAAAATTAGTATCCTTCTGCATTTTTTTCTGCATGGTCATACATTCTTAAAAGAATAGTTATATCACACACACAGAGAAATACTCACATATAGAGTTTTTTTTTACCATTTACTTTATAAAAGTAAAGCCAATTTCAACATGTATATTCATATTTTTTCACTCAAAAGTACCTCTTCTTTAAATCCCTATTTATGGTGGTTGATTATTCTTTCTTTTCAATTTGTTATAAATATTACTTCTCTGTCTTGTTTCACAGTGTTGTTTTAATTCTATCATCTGTCTCTTGACTTGCCATTTAATATCTTTTGCCATAGATATATTCATATAGAAAAATGTATCTATAATTTCTTTTATAACTTTAGGGTTTCTAGCTTAGCTTAAAAAAGTCTTACCTATCCCTGGATTGTATTATGTAGTATCCTAGATTTTCTAGATTATGTTTAATTAAACTGAAATTCATTTTTGTATGTGGAATAAGATAATAGGATTCAGTTTATTTTCTTCTTATTTCAGAGCCAGTTGTAACTAGTAACATTTCTTAAATAATTCATTCTGTATGA